ATCTCGAGAGTAAATTCCGTACTCGTTGAGCAGTGACGTTTGCAAAAATAGTTTTTGAGAATTTTTTTACTGAGGTTGACTATTTTCTCGAAAAGTATTCCATATTTTCCAAAACTGGACCATTTTCTTGGACCCAAAAAAGGAAAATTTTCAGTGCTCATAGCCTGACTTGCATGATTTTAAATCAGAAAATCGAACAAGTATGTTAATCTAACTCTTAGTTTGGTTAAAAGTGTTTTAGTAGAAAACCAAAACAAAAAATGGTCAAAATGATGAACTAGGGGCACAGTTGAGTTAGGCTTCCTGTCTTTTCCCCATCGCCAGCATACTTACCAGAAAGAGCACAACTGGAGCTGTCTGTAAAGGGCTGAAAGCTCCCTCACCCTCCGAGCAACGAGGTATCAAGCCAAGTGCGAAGCACGAATCGGAATGGATTAAGATACTCTATTCCCTCATCCGGAGCATCGACTATATGTTGCCGGAAGAAGTAGCTGTGAGCTAACAGTGTTTGGCATGAACCCATAACCTCTTGTTTGTTCACCGACCATATCTGGGGAGGGATGAAAAATGAGAGAGTGAAGAATAGAGAGGTGTAAGTCGAGAGAAAAGTGAGCAAAAAGGGGTTTTGAGAGAAAAACCGAGCCTGAGGGCCGAGTGATATGAGAATCACAAATGAGAAGAGGGTGGGAAACAATACCCAGAGAAACTGGCTCCTCACAAACTAAGAGGTCTCTTGTCTTTTATAACACGTCTGTGTGTCATGTCTTTTGTTTTGACTGTCTCGATTCTTGTCTTGAGTCGTCTCGAGTGTTACTCGATTTGTTTAGGTTGAGTGCCTTTTTGTTTTCTCTGTTGAGTCATTTTCGCTGTGTTCAGTCGTAGGCTCAATACCCGGTTGAAAACCCTTTTCTCAAATCGTTTTGCGCTCAGAGTGCTGTGCCATTCCCCACATTTGTGCAAAACATAATTTGGTTCTTTCATAAAACTGCAGGGTCCACCCCCGATAAGTGTGAACAGAAAAACCTAGACCTATCTGAAGCTTTTGGGTTCCGGATTGCAAAGCAAGAAATTTTAGAGCATCTGAGTGTGTTTCAACTTCTGCAGAGTTCAGAATGAACCGTGTATTCAGAATGAGCAATATGCTGCTGTGGGCTATGAGTTCAGAATGAGCAGTTTTCAGAATTGGCTGTGTGTTCAGAATAAGCAATGCGTTGTATGAACTGTGTGTATAGGCTGTATGGAGAGTAAACCAAGCACTGTGTTGTGGGCTGTGTGTTCAGAATGAGCAGTGGGTTGTGAGTTGTTTTGTCATTAGCTGGTTCATTACCTGGTTATTACAATACAAGTGTTTGATTTTCAGACAAAAGATCGATCTCATTTACATTGTTGTGTAATATAATGCGATGCGATGTATGAAATACACAAATGTAACACTTTTTCAGGAAAAAAGTTTGTTTCATTTCATCATCTTTTCAAGTACAAAGTTTCGAAGAAAATAAAACCTGTCTGCGGCAGTACAAGGTACTCAAGCTACATAAAAAAAATGAAAATGAAAAAAGAAGAAAAGAAAAGAAAACAAGAAAACAAGAAAAGAAAAGAAGTGTGTTTCAACTTCTGCAGAGTTCAGAATGAACCGTGTATTCAGAATGAGCAATATGCTGCTGTGGGCTATGAGTTCAGAATGAGCAGTTTTCAGAATTGGCTGTGTGTTCAGAATAAGCAATGCGTTGTATGAACTGTGTGTATAGGCTGTATGGAGAGTAAACCAAGCACTGTGTTATGGGCTGTGTGTTCAGAATGAGCAGTTGGTTGTATGAGTTGTTTTGTCATTAGCTGGTTCATTACCTGGTTATTACAATACAAGTGTTTGATTTTCAGACAAAAGATCGATCTCATTTACATTGTTGTGTAATATGATGCGATGCGATGTATGAAATACACAAATGTAACACTTTTTCAGGAAAAAAGTTTGTTTCATTTCATCATCTTTTCAAGTACAAAGTTTCGAAGAAAATAAAACCTGTCTGCGGTAGTACAAGGTACTCAAGCTACCAGCAAAAAAGAAAAAGAAAAAGAAGAAAAGTAGCAAAAATTTGGATCAGCATCGATCATTTCAGGCCTGAGAGTCTGTCCTCGTCCTCTTCCTGGACGAATGTCCAGGAGCGTCATCGCCACCTCCACAGCCTGAGCCCGAGTCCGAGTCATCTCCGGTCTCCTCCTCAGATGCCTCCGCCTTCGTCTCTGCCTCGGACTCGTCATCATCTAGGATCGGTGCTCGGGAGCTACTCCCAACATGAGTGCGCCCCGCTTTGGTGCGGGGAAATACTATGCCACCTCGTCCTCCTCCTCGAGCAGGAACAGAAGGCCCAGCTGGAGCACCTCCTGCAGTAGGAATCTGGAATGGAGGCTGAAAAGCACAAATGGCAAACGCATCAGTATGCTACGCAAAAGTAGAGTATGAATGCTGTGAGCAGTGTATCAGTACAGAATGCAGTGTATGAGTACAATGTATGAATACAAAATGCAGTGACTGAGTGCAGTGTATGAATGCCGTAAGGGCCGTGTATCAAGTGTTGTGTTGATAAGTGCGATACATCAGATTGTGTAAAGTTTGACTCGGTGGTCAGAAAGACTTACCGGGATACTGTAAAGGGCTAGCAGGTCTAAGCTCCGCTGGAGCATCCCCATCATGGAGGCATTCAACTCCAGGGACTGGCGAGTACTCGGAGGAAGCCTGCAAAAGTGTTAGAAGTATCAGTATTCTGCGAGATATCAAGAGAAATGAAATGAAACGACTGTACAAAATGCAGTAGTACATACCGGGGCCAAGTTGTTGAAACTGACCAGCTCGTGATCAGCCGGAGGGGGAGCGATGGGGATCTAATAAGTCTCCCTACTCTGCCCTCTGTATGTCATCATCGTGGGCAATGCCGGCCATCCAACTCCCTGTCCTCTCCGAGGCCCACTCCTGCCACGGGCCTGAGCCATCCTAGGTGCTCCTGCCCCTACTCCCGCTCCCGCTCCAGCCGCTGGCGCCACAGGCCACTCTCTCTCAGCTCGATGGCCACTGCTCAGAGGCCTCATGATATAGGTCTGGACGTACTCTGCATAGTCGCCCTCGCCTCTATAGCCCTCCGCCTCCCATCCGATCGTGTAATCGGCCATCTCATGTGAGGGGTATCTCTCTGTCTGCCTCATGTCGATAGGAGGTGGACCCGGGGCTATCTGCTCTAGTAAACCTAAGGTCTGGCGCAGGAAGCGCTCGCCCAGGTACCAAGCCCGATAAACCGGGCCCTCCAGCAGAATCCTGAATCGGGCAGTCTCCTCAACACCAGCATACCGCTCCCGAACTACGTCTGACAACGGAGCCCAAGGCTGCTAGGTGATCTGTAAATGATACACAGTTGGTTATCTACCGTTATCGAAAGAACAATGCAAAGCGAAGCTTGGAATAAACTCTAAAGTTGAACATACCTCTGCAGCGGTGATGGTGTCGAAATAGTGGCGGAAGAATATAAAAGACTCCCGGGGTCTCCGCACGCATCTCACGTCAAAGCGGCGGGAGAATGGAACGCCGAAGGGGGTCTCCTCGTGTGACACTGGGGCAAGCCTCGGGAAGTGGGCATAGACCCACAACTGCAGAGCAAATATCAGTATGCTTATCAGATAAAGCAGAATGCAAAATAAAGCAGAAATTATAGAACCGTGTATTGTGTAGTGTATTGTGCAGAGTGTACAGTGTGTGCAGTATACAGTCAGTGTAAAGCATATTGCATGTTTGCAGTATGTGCGGTGTATAGTCAGTTGGCATCAGATTGTGCAGTATGTGATGTATTGTGCAGTATACAGTCAGTGTAAAGCAGATTATATGTGTGCCATGTGTGCAGTATACAGTCAGCGTGAGGCAGACCGCAGTGTGTGCAATGTACAGAGTACAGAAAATGTAAAGTAAAAATGTAAAGAGAGAAAGAGGATGTACCTCCCAAGCCCGCCAGTAGCCTCCGAGCAACTGTCCGCTGAGGTGAGAGGATGAACTCATGTAGCCGTACAGTGTGGCCAAGCCTGCGCCACCCCAGTCATAGCGGCAGATCCGTGTGACGTCCACTAAAGCGCTCAGCAGACAGAGGGGCACAGTGTTTGCCTGGTCGGCGAAGAGGGTCGTCCCTAGCAAGAACATAAGGAAGCCGCGTGCATACTGCTCTGCCTCCTACTGAGCCATCGGCGCCTCCTCAACTAAGGCTGGCTGAATCCTAAAGTGGTCCTCGAACCACGAATATTTGACAAATCCTGGACGGGCAAGAGGCGGTAGGTCACCAAGCAAGTACATCTGAGCGGCCTCCCACTCGTCCATGTCTATATTGAAGGGGATCGGATCACCCCCTACCCCAATGCCGGTGAGCATCGAGAAGTCGAAGGGAGTCATCGTCATGTCTCTCATGGCAGAAAAGTGGAAGAAATTGGTAGTGTCCCACCACCTCTCCACCAAAGCGGCAAGAAGGGGCCTGCTCGCAGCAAGGCGCGACAGTCTCCTGTAAAAAGTGCCGAAGCCGGCCTGATCAACTATATGGCGGACCGCGTCCGGTATCTCCATATACCATCCTCTGGCGGCAACATTCCCATACCCCCAGAAGGCATGAAAATCCCCTTGTATTCAAAAGCAAACAGTTGCGAAGCAATATTAAATGTACAGTTTTGAAGAACAGTCAAGATTGATGCAAATACAGCGTGTGTGCACGTTTTTAGATTCAAATAGATATCAAGTGCCAGTGTGCTCGAAGTGAACTACGGCATATGATGTGTCAGTGTGTCTGATTGGTACAGTGAAAACACAGCGTGCGTGCACATTTTCAGGTTCAAACAGATATCGGGTATCAGTGTGCTCACAGATGAATTACAGTGTGTAATATATCGATGTATCCAGGCTAAGCAGTTAAAGAACAGAATCAACTATTGCAGTTATGTTCTATATTGTGGAAAATAAAACAAAAGGAAGACTGTACCTCAGAAGCGCCGTAAGACAGATGCGACTCTGGCTCGCACAGAAGAAGCTTTCGTGGCACACCCCTATCAAAAGTCCTGAACTGGCGAAGACCATCAGGAGGTAGCACGTGAATCGCTGGCCTGTAGGTCACCGGATCGAACGGTCGGACACTGAGAGGCAAGAGCTCGGCGTCGGGGTCCATCTCCTGCTCCGGAGGAGTCCCACCTCGTGGAATACCATCCGCCATGCCGAGAATGATGTGAAAATGGCCGGAAGAGTGAAAACCGGACAAAAATACGAAAAGTCAACTGAAAAGTCAACCCCAGGAGGGTGAAAAATGGTCGGAAAGGTTGGGGTGCGGAAAAGGCACAGAGATCAAGGAAAATTCGAGGGAAACAAACCCCAAATGGTGGAATCGAGAAAGAGACACCAAAACAAAGATTTGTTCGGTTCAAAATGTTTGAAACGCGAAGGAGTTCGCGAATCGAACGATGAAATGGGCCCTAAAACCAAGGAAAACGGAGGATAGAAGGTTGGAAAATAACCTAGAGAAAGAGGGAAAGGGTTTTCGAGTTTGTGGGAAGTGAGAAATGAGGGCTATAAGCCCTATTTTTAAAGACCCGTGCCGAATTGACCAAATTGTCCCGATTCAGGCATATTTGGCCGGTTGGCCACCTTGTTGGCCGGTCGGCCAAATATTTGGCTGATGGCATTGTTTTGTGGCCGATGGATGGTCGGTGACCTCCCCCGATGGCCGGTGAGTCTCCTACACCTTTTTTTGGGTCTTTGATGCGGTTTGGGGCCTCCATTGCTCAGCACAGTGCAAGAAAATGCATTTCCGAAGCTTAACCGGTCTCTGTGCCGTGTCTTCTGTGCGTAGCACTCGAATACGTGCAAGGTGTATCCTTTTTGTATCCTTTTGTCTCTTGAGAGACTCGAAAATTGCTTTACATGTGTTACGTTACAACGTTTTGTCGCGAACGCGCGTTGAGTTATAAGTCATTTCACTCGCATTGTCATGCTTATCATACTTACATTGTTATGCATTTTAATATCGGTCTAGGAGACCTTAAATCCTCTGAAGGTGCAATTCCTTTGGTGTTTGTCGTGCCCGAACGACTCTTGGCGGGTTTTATCTTAGGTTGCATTGTCATGCACGCCGCACTCGCATTGCTATGCACACACCTTGTGCATTGTAGCGCACGCCATACTTGCATTGTTATGCATCTTCTTTAGGCCGCATCGTCATGCACACCTTACATGCATTGTCATGCATGATCCTTATCACGCGTCATCATGCGCACCTTACATGCATTGCCGTGCATCTTTCTTACCTCGCATTGTCATGCGCAGTTCATTTGCATTGTCATACGTGTCTCATGTGCATTGTCATGATCATGCATTTTTCATTCGCATTTCAAAAGACAAAAACAAAAAAATGCATTATCATTTGCATTTCAAAAAAAAAAAAAAAAAAAAAAAAAAAAAAAACAAACAAAAAAACAAAAAAACCAAAAAAACAAACATGCATTGTCATGCATCATTGTAAATAGTGCATTGTCATGCATTTCATTGTAAATATTACATTCCACTGCACATTGTATATATTGCATTGTAGCTTGCATGCATTCACTGCATCACCTCCATCTATGGCTTGCGCCTTTCCATGTTGAGCCTGGTCTGGTATGTGCCTGTACTTTTCGCGTTGAAGCACAGTTATGATATTATGTGTACGCACCTAGTGTTGTGGGTGACAACACCGTTTCTGTGTTAAACGTGGTTTGTATGTGTCCATGCCTTTCCTAAGCAAGATACGGTTCGGCCGCAGGCCTTATCCAATGTAAATATTATATTCCATTGTATATTGTATATATTGCATTGTAGCTTGCATGCATTTATTGCATCACCTCCATTTACAGCTTGCGCCTTTCCATGTTGAGCTTGGTCTGGTATGTGCCTGTACTCTTCGCGTTGAAGCACGGTTATGATATTATGTGTACGCACCTAGTGTTGTGGGTGACGGCACCATTTCTGTGTTAAACGTGGTCTGTATGTGTCCATGCCTTTCCTAGGCAAGATACGGTTTGGCCGCAGGCCTTATCCACTGCATTCATTGCATTTTAGCTGGTAAATATTGCATTGTACATAGCTTGCATTGTCATGCATCTTTCCTTACATGCATTGTAGTGCATTCTTCCTTACTTTGCATTGTCATGCATTTTCCTACTACATCATTTAGTATGTAGGTTTCATTGTAAATAGTGCATTGTCATGCATTCATTGTAGTGCATTATAGTTGCATGCATTCACTACATCACCTCCATCTATGGCTTGCGCCTTTCCATGTTGAGCTTGGTCTGGTATGTGCCCATACTTTTCGCGTTGAAGCACAGTTATGATATTATGTGTACGCACCTAGTGTTGAGGGTGACGACACCATTTCTGTGTTAAACGTGGTTTGTTTGTGTCCATGCCTTTCCTAGGCAAGATATGTTTTGGTCGCGTGCCATATCCATTTCATTCATTACATTGTAGTGTAGTGTTTTGCATCCAGCATTTAGGATCACGATCTCTCCTGAGCAGAGCATTCCCCACTTATATCATCCCACCCAATTACTTGTATCTTGTGTTCCGTCTACACACTCATAGTTCTGCATGTGTACGCGCCTATTCCACTACTGGCATTGTGGTTTGAGGGTGTCAGCACCTTTTCTATGGTAGACGGACTTTGTATCTCCATCATCTTTATGATATTTGTGTGGTTTTGAACTGCTTATGGTTTGATCATGTTTCAATTGCATTGCATATCATTTGCATTGTTTATATATAATTTTGTATATATTGCATTATCATTTGCATCCATTCCGCATTGTTATGCATTGTCACACGAGTTACATTGTCATGCACTCCTTCGCTTGCGTTGTCATGCAGTTTTAGATTGCATTATTATGCATGTTGCTAATGATATCGTACCTGTTAAGTTTTCTTTCTCTTTCAGGCACGATATTGTATGTACGGTTCATTTGAAACTGGTGCAACTAGACGAGCCGCACAGGTATTATATTCTCTCTGTGTGAGACGTGGCGAGAATTCAATAATTCTCCGCATTCTTCAAAAAATGTAGTCTTGCTTTGCATTCTTGCTTAAAACTGTTGCGTTATGCTTCGTTACAGCTTTCTTTGCATGATCATGAGTTATGTTCGGCTTCTTGCATTGTCAGTTGCATTTTGCCCCCGCCTTCGGGCGCATATCTTTATTGTCTTGCATCTTTGTCTAAGTCTTTAGCCTTGTCAAAAATGGGTCGTCTCTGGGCTTTGACACTTGCTCCCGTCATTGTTATGACTTTCGAGTTCTGTTAAAGAGGGGCAACTGTAGACACCCTATTTTTGACCGTCCTCAAGACTTGGGCATCACCGTTTGAACACTCGGTGATCATCTATGTTCGTGTTCGTCTTGAGTTCTCAGAGGTCTCGGCCACGCGCCTTGCCTCAAGACCTCTCGACTTGCCTATTTTGTGTTTGGTTTTGCACCAAACACTTGTGTTTTGCTTTTGAGGAGCAGGGAATGGCTTGTTGGCCATCCCCACATCTCACAGGCTATGGCTTGAGGCCACCGGCCATTGTCTTGTTGCCATCGGCCAAATGTTTGGTCGGTTGGCACTCTGTTTGGTCGGTCGACCATTCATCTGGTCAATTTGGCTTTTTGGCTGGCCGACCACTGTGCATCTGCTTTTGGCAGATATTTTGTGCCAGCTGTGCTGCTGGCACCCACTTTGCACCTCCTCTATACACGTGTATGGAGGGATTTCACTCTTGCTTAGCTTGTTTTGTAAGCTTTGCAAGAGTGATCCTCTATAATGGGAGGCCTTCTCCTTCCTCCTTAAGGGTTATAAAAAAGAGTTCCAGAGGTCTGAATTAGGGTTAGGTCTTGTGTATCTATCTATCTCTATATCTCCTTCTCTTTTGCTCTTTGTGTGTGTATTAAGGTGTTTTGTTCATAGTTTTGCACACAAACACCTAGAGTTACACTTTTCTTTAGCTACTAAGGTATTAAGGAGTGATTTTTAGAGTTCTTGAGTTGATCTAAGCTTGGAGAAGGGGCTGGAGTGGTCCTTGTGAAGAAGGTCTTCAAGGGAAAGAACTTTACCCCTTTATTCCATATTTTTGCATAGGCTTTTAGCCATCCTTGCATCTATTTTTGAGCTTAACTTATAACATATAAAAGTTCTAATTTTAAGTGCTTAAAATAGTTGTTTAAGGTTGTTTTGGTGTTTGGGTTGTTTGACCCCTCTTAGGCCTTGTTCGGCCCCCATTTTGTGCTATTTTGGTGAGTTCTGGGACCACCTTGTTTGGGCCTTCTCACCACTAAAATCCCTGGATTTCAGTGGTGGGGATGGTGCTTTGAGGTCCTAAGAAGGAGAGGGCCATCCCCTCTTCTTGTTGTCTTCAAAAGTTATCATTTTAGCCTCACGTGTGAGCACCATTGTTGAGTTCATGTTGGCCATGTCTTAGCTAGTATTTGTGCTTATTTTGCCATGATATAGCACTGTTTTAAGTTGGTTTAGACACACCATGCTTGCTTCGCATACTTGTCTTGTAATGCCATGAATGGCCTTAACATGCTTTGTGCTTTGAGCCTTGTTTCTAGCATGTTTTTGGTCTAGCTTTGTGAAGCTTTTATGCGTGTCTTAGTATGCTTAAGGTCAGTTTGGAATTGTTTTGGCCATCCATGACATGCTTTGCATAGCCACCTTGCATTTGGCTTGTTAGCCTTGGGTGTGTGAGTGTTGAGCATGCATTACTTGGCTTGTTTCAGTGGTTTGGTGCCACTTATAACATCATTTCAGTCCTTGTGGTATGCTTGTATGCTTGCATTTGATGCTCCTTTAATGCTTCAAGAGGTTGGTATCTTATGCTCCATGTTTGAACCCTTTTGCATGCCTTTAGACTTAGGCTATTTAGATGCCATCTAGGTGTGCCTTTGACCTTGTTTTGATCTGCATTGGGGTGGTTTTGAGTCCCCATGGCCCTTTGGGACTTGCTTCACATAGCTATGGTTTAAGCCCTTTGGCTTACCTTGAGTTTTGGACATAGTTGCATGCCTTGCTTGCATTGATAGGTTGATTTGGCATCATTCCTCATGTATTTCCAGGGCTTGCTATGCTTGCCATTAGTCCATGTTTATCCTCTTTTAAGTGTGCTTAAAAGTTGCTTCTTTATGCTTAAGAGTTGGGCCATGTGTGCATGC